GGGTCACCGCCCGGAGCAGGAGGAGCCTCCGGGCTGTGCCTCGGCTCGTGCTAAAATTTAAGTGTCGTGGAATCGTTAAGGGTGGAAAAGACGTGTAAGACCGTCAGCCCAGCGCTCGCTACCACGGCCGCTGAACCGTGCCCCATAGTGCTGCGTCGGCTGTTTCAGGGGGTCAGTCACTGAGTTCAGGGGTGTTCAGCAGATGCAAACCTGCCACTGTGCAGGAGCCACCACCCCGCCCCCGCCGCCGAAATCCGGCCGGGCAAACCCCATACCTCTCGTAAAAATGGGACACAAAAGCAGAAAGCCAGGTAACTTCAGGTCGGGCTGGTAAACAATAGACTAGGCGGGTGCTAACGTGTAGAATTTAAGCTACAGAACTTGCATGGGACCTTGAATCTCTTAACAGCACGGATATGTTCGGGTTTGGAAGAGTGAGGGTGCCCTTCCCTTTGCTGGTAGTAACTTAAAAATTGTCATTGTTTTCTATGTATATGTATATATACACACACCCACATTGGGATAGTTGAGGTAATACTTGCTTTAAAAGTGGGCATCTGTAGGGGTTAAAGCAAAGTCTGAGTTGTTTTAGTCTACCAAAAATCTAAAAGTCTCAAAACAAAGCTAAAGTGGCAAACCTCTTTTATTATGTTTTCACAAAATCCCAGCATGGTGTTGACTAAAATAGGAGTAAGCTATTCAAGCTCAAGTAAGGGAGGACAGAAGCCAGGTGTACCCTCTTTGGGAAAAAAAAAAATTTCTTTTTGGTTTTTTTCTGTTTAGTTCTGGAATTTGAACATGTGTATCTTGAAAATCTACCGTGTGCTTTGATGTACGAACGCAGTTACATGCACAGAGATGTCATTACACATGTAGCATGTACTAAGTAAGTGTCTCTTTCCACTTTCTCATTGTATTTTTTATATGCTATGAAGTTTTTATTGTGTACAGGGGCAATATTGTAAGTTTGGGGTTTTTTTTAAACCTAAGTGCAAAGGAACAGGCTTACTGAGACACAAGATAACTGTCTAAATAGACTAAAACAGAATCTTAAAATCCTTATTGCAGTATGAAATATATACAGGAATAAGAGCAGCTGTCTGCATTGGAACAGAATATGATTCAGCAGAACTGCACAGTCTGAGCTGGTTATTTTATTATATTTATAAAATAACATGTATACACACACATACATTAGTAAATAGGAACTAATGTGAAACCAGACCTAAAATGATAAAATCTAAAAAAGTAGAGAATATTAAATTTATATAGTTAAAAGGAATAATTACATAAATATTCAATTCAGATTGTTTACTTTTTGTATGTTAACCCACAGTACATTAAGATACTTACTTGGTTTTCTGGGAGTCATAGTACCCTTTCAAACAGATTGCCACAGTACTTTTAAAGTTCATTTTGTACACAATGTTAATTAAAGTGCAAATTACTGCACAGTGTAAAAATGCCAACATGTTTATCTGTCTTTTTATTGTTTTTGTTTTTCTTTTGTAATTATAGGACGGATTTTATCATAACAGCCAGTCATGATGGCCATGTAAAATTTTGGAAAAAAATAGAAGAAGGGATTGAGTTTGTTAAACACTTTCGGAGTCACCTAGGTGAGAGATTGCTTTTCCTTAAATGACTGCACTGTTTCTTCCTTCTTGGTCTTGTTTGTATGATGAGGGAGTGTCAATAAAGAGGAGAGGGTTGGTTCTGGGATTATTTTCCTGGAGATGGGGGTTAAATGTTATATATCTTCCTTTATTTCCCTGCCCTGTTATGTTTTGCTACTGAACTGCAGGAGGGATATGGGGTGAGAAAAGACGTGTGTGACTCCTGCACAGATCCACAACATCCTTTGCATTGCCTTGTGCTCTATCTGCTGGGAGAGTCTGGGATGTGAAGAAACTCTGTTTAAAAATAAGCAAACAGGCTACACAAAATCCAGAAAAGCTGAAAAAGATGATACTTTAAGTAAGGTTTCCCTCATCTCTCGTTTTTCTGGTTTTTTTTCCCTGCAGTGTGGAAAACCAGTTATTTTCGTCTGGAATGAAGGATGTCCATTTATAGTTTTTTAACAGTATGTTACCTTTTTATAGGAGTTATCGAGAGTATTGCTGTTAGTTCAGAGGGAGCATTATTTTGTTCAGTTGGAGATGACAAAGCAATGAAAGTGTTTGACGTAGTCAACTTTGATATGATCAACATGCTGAAACTTGGGTAAGTTCTTCAAATTTAAGTCAACACTAAGGGTATTAACACCATTTTTTTTTTTACCGACAACAAAGAACTAACATGGATGTGGTTCAGTTTCCTGCTTAACACTACTAACGGGCTTCACAATAAAGAACCATTGGCGGAAACAAAAGAACCGGCCTTGCCATAGATAGTTGGAACTAGAGCGAAGGGAAAGCCGTGGGAGAAGAATGCTCACCCCCCTCAGGTCCTGCGATGACCAGGGCACAGCAGTGGCCTTCTTGGGGTGGGCAAGTGGGTGCCCAACTGCCTGGAGCCATTGCCTTTTATCTGCCAAGCGTCCTCCTCTTGGGGGCTTCTGGGGGGGTCACCCCTCCCTCTCCTGGATTGACTTCTTCATTTTTGCAGCCCCTTCTCCAAGCCCTACCTGCCCCCACAGCTCCACCGGTGTGTGGACGGGGCAGGGGGCTCAGCAAAGTGCTGGGTCACCCTGCACCAACACGGACAGGCACCAGGCAGGTTCAGAAAAGGCCCAGACTGTTTGAGACATTTGTTTGGCAGTCCCTTACACCATCCTGAAGTGCATTCAGAACACTTACTGAGTATAGGGGGTTTGACTTTAATTTTACATGTCACTTTTTGGTTGAGTTTTGTGTTTGTTGTTTTTTTTTTAATTAGTGTTGCTTGGAAAAGCTTAGTTTTAACACTACTGGACTTTAGAAAGATAGATGTTAGCAAAACGAGTAAATAAATTTCAAAATTTGCTTCTGATACTTGATTTCAAGTTTATAGCATAACTCGCTTCTTATCCAAGTAACACCAGACCTTAATTGTTTTTTCTCTTTCCATTCTTTGTTGCAGGTACTACCCTGGCCAGTGTGAGTGGGTGTATTGCCCTGGAGATGCCATATCTTCTGTTGCAACATCTGAGAAGAGCTCAGGAAAAATATTCATATATGATGGACGAGGAAATAACCAGCCACTTCATGTTTTTGATAAACTCCATACATCCTCTCTTACTCAGATACGGTTGAACCCTGTCTACAAAGTAGTAGTGTCTTCTGACAAATCTGGAATGATTGAATACTGGACTGGTACTCCTCATGAATATAAATTTCCCAAAAACGTGAACTGGGAATATAAAACAGATACTGATCTATATGAGTTTGCTAAATGCAAGGCTTACCCATCCAGTATAAGTTTTTCACCTGATGGCAAGAAAATGGCCACTCTTGGGTCTGACAGAAAAGTGAGAATTTTCCGGTTTTTGACAGGGAAGCTTATGAGAGTCTTTGATGAATCTCTGAGTGTAAGTTTGGTCTTAATTCTCTTTTTTGGGGGTCTTTTTTCAGCTAATTTACCAGCACATTCACCAAAATTATCATCTACTTCTAAAGCTGAACTACATTGCCATATTTTTCTTGCAGAAAAAGGTTTTCACTGTTTCTTGCCTCTTGTATTACTTTGCTCCAGAATTAATAGTGATTTATGTTAGTTATGGAGAGAAACTGAGTTCTGTATTTTCATTTATGTTTTCATACTGTTAGTTTATTTTTTTTAACTACAAAGCAGTTATGGAAAATGCCCATTTCAAATAGCATCAAAATAATGAATTAAACATGTTTTCTAAGCACTTCATTAGCTACACACATTCCTTTCTTTGCTTAAACCTAGTATTGTAACATACCTATTGGGTTATTAAAATAAGTAAGGTATTTATTTTAATTCTTCAGTTAAGTTTGAGTGGAGTAGTCTCACTTGTGCTGTATTTGAGTTCTGTATTTTTCTTAAGCATATGAATCAGCTTTTTGCTGGATGGGAAACTTAAAATATATTCATATAGAAGTAATTTTGTTTTTTCTGTAGATGTTTACTGAACTTCAGCAGATGAGACAGCAACTACCAGACATGGAGTTTGGCCGACGTATGGCAGTTGAGCGTGAGCTAGAGAAAGTGGATGCAGTGAGATTGATTAATATAATTTTTGATGAAACTGGACACTTTGTTCTCTACGGAACAATGTTGGGCATTAAAGTCATAAATGTGGAAACTAACAGGTAAGTTCCAGTGACATGTGTTGGGATAAACATGTTTCAAAGTCTATATTCAGTCAAATTTATAGTAGACTTAAAACTTGGTATGATGTGGGGGTCTGTAATCTCCTGTTGGTGGTGTTATTTGGGAGCCTCACAATAGATACTCTCATTCTTAGTAATGAGCCATTGCAGTTTAAAGCTTAGTAAGATGAGGTGAAATTTTGGCCAGTGCATTTGTATTAAAATCGTATAATCAATTTATCTCTGGCTAAATGGCTATGATAACATAAAGTAAATGTGGATCATGCAGTTGGGATTTTGTTGCATAAGGAGGCTGACTAGTGAATTATGTAGCAGGTTTGAATAGAGAAGCATCAAAAAAGTTCTGAGAGTTTTCAAATTTTACTTTGAGTCTTGCACTCAGAAAGGAGACAGTCTCTAACTGTGAACAGCTAACAGTGTTTATACCTTTTCACATACTTTACTGCAGGTGTATTCGTATCTTGGGAAAACAAGAGAACATCAGAGTGATGCAACTAGCTTTGTTCCAAGGAGTAGCAAAGAAACACCGTGCCGCAATCACTATTGAGATGAAGGCATCTGAAAATCCTGTTCTCCAGAATATCCAGGCAGATCCAACAGTAATCTGCACAGCTTTTAAAAAAAATAGGTTTTACATGGTATGTGTGATTTCTTTTTAAATAACTCCATTCTTGCACTGATGTGTTCTGTGCATTTTTTTTTTAACTTGCACCTTTCCAGTGCTTTGTCTTGAGTATTTATGAACACATTTTTTTTCCAGAGGAGTCTCTTCATATTGCAAGCATATTCTAGAATTTCAAGCTTGAACTAAATTGACTAGGAACAGCTTTGTAATCTTGATTTATTTTTTTTTTTTCTCATTATTGCTCAACCAGTTAAACTTGGATGATTTTGGTTGTCAAAATTATAGTTCTCCAAGAAGGGTATAGGCTTTAGTTCTAGTTTGGGGGGAAAAAACCCCAAACCCTTAAGTAAGAACATTTTAAAACCATATCGAGATCTTATAAAGAAACAATAATTAACTATAATAAAAAATAATTTAAATTCAGAGCAGGATCAGGACTCAGTAGCACCGAGTACATTATGGGCAGCTAACTAAGACAGGAGTCACCTTCTTGTTCACAATTTAGATTTTAGGCGAGATGCAATGAATAAGCCAAGCAGAAAAGCAGTTCCAGACTAGTTAGTAGTTTGTGACATGATCACCATAGAGGTTAGAAGTTTGAGTGTTTTCACTTGTGCTTGAATTTAATCATGTTTTCTGTTGGAGCAAGACAATATACTTTCTAAAGCTTTGTGTAGTTGGGGTATAGTGTATCATGGAATATACTGATACGAGCTACTTGACAAAAAAGTAGTTAGGCAAAGTTAGGCAGAATCTGGAAATGTTACTGTCAGAGAAAACATGACTATATGCATGCAGAAAGATTAGTGATTGTCATTTAATATGTGAGTGTGCTAAAGTGGGTGCTCTTATATGTATATTCTCCTGTAATTACTATAAAAATCCTGTTTATGAGATTTCTCCTGTTAAATTTGCTGTTCTTTTTTTCTTCAGTTTACTAAACGTGAACCAGAAGATACAAAGAGTGCAGATTCTGACAGAGATGTATTTAATGAGAAGCCTTCCAAAGAAGAGGTCATGGCAGCCACTCAGGCAGAAGGTCCCAAAAGAGTTTCAGACAGTGCAATCATCCACACAAGCATGGGAGATATTCATATCAAGCTTTTTCCTGTTGAGTATGTATCTGGTAGTTCTTCTGTTACTTCATTTTTCTTTCTGTGCTTTTTGATGGAAGTATCCAAGATTTCTATTTCAAGATGGGAATATTTTTTCTCCTTTTTTTTTCTGCTTTGTTTCCTCACAGTTCCTTAATACATCAGACTAGGAAGGTAACTTGTGACAAACAAAGTAGGGTAAAAATTAGGTGTAAATAATAGTTTGGTGACACAGGCTTTTATTTAATTAGTGACTCAAGAAGTTTTTTCCTTAAGTTTTGTTATTTTTCTAAACTGTGGATAGGTCATGATGCTCTTCTGTGTAAGCTACATGGTCTTGTATGGCAGTGCAGTTTGATTACATCTTGAAAAAGAATGATGATGTTTGCAGGAGCAGTAGACTTGGCAGTAGGTCTGTGTAAGCCAGGGAACAAGCAGTTTGCAACTTCCAAGTGTGGCTGTTATACTATGTTTTATGCTATTGCAGCTGTTTCAAGAGCAACACAGAATTTATACCAGTATATAATAGTAGTGCTGTATATATCCCTAACAAGGCATACAACTGAAAGTTTTATGCATAATATTATATCATTATGCTGGCATTTCTCTTGCATGATGCTAATATAGGCAAAGATTTTGTTATGAAACAGTAAATTTATATATATTTTATTGCTGTACATTGAAACTTAAAACATTTAAGCGTAGTCCATGTAGATCATGTTTTGTCATAAGCACAGGTAAGGCAACACAACCTCAATTCTACCCTGTAGGACTGGTGGTCTTTTATTGCTCCTTTCAGCCATGTCTTCTTGCATCAAGCCCTAGTTTCTTTGCTGTATTTGCATGCATAGCATTGCTAGGTGCTACATTGCAGTATTTTGTATGCAATTTTAAATTAAATACAGTATTACCAGGCTTAGTTATTGTTAGGCTTGTCCGTCCTTTTTCCTCCCAGCTGAGTTTTGAATTTAAAATCTCTTTGAGTGTGATTAAGAATTTTAAGAAGAGAGTATAGGATGTGGTATTTTCTTTTTGCTGGGAAAACGTGTGTGACAGCCTAAACCTGTCCATGTAGATCTACCCTAGGTAATAATCCATTTTGCAAAACTAGTGGAAGAACTGTTGCAATGAATTTTCCATCTGGTAGGAGTTGTCCCAGATGTAAAAAAAATCAAGTCGCAAAGGGGAAGGGGGTTTGTTTTTTTTTTTCCCCTTTTTATTCCTTCAACTGTAATAATCCACCCCTTCACTCTCCTTCCAAACAATGTTAGTAGATAGTTTTTGGGGAAGATAACTGACTGCTGACTCCAAGCTCTTTAATATTAAACATTAAATTTTTAGATTTTACTTCTCATGTGCAACACTAGACACCTTACATAACTTAATAGAATTATAGCAGTAAAAGAGTGAACAATTTTCTGCACAGGGAGCATATGCTTCTTAATTGATTTTGTAAATAAACTGTGTAAGCAAAAAGCTGGGGAAGGAACTGTCTAATCAGTGGTGCCTTGAGCTAGGTTTTATGGAAATCATTTGGTTTGTGGCTATTCTGGTTAAACCCTGGCCAGCAATGAAGCCCCACACAGCCCCTCACACACTCCCCACCAATGGGGTGAGGGGAAAAGAATCAGAAGGGGCTTGAGATAAAGGCAGTTTCATAGGTAAAGCCAAAGCTGTTCACTCAAGCAAAGCAAGGAATTCATTCACTGCTTCCCATGGTCAGGCTGGTGTTGAGCCACGTCCAGGAAAGCAGGGCTCCATCATGCTGCGTGTCTTGGGGAGACAAATGCCATCTCTCTGAACCTGACCCCCTTCCTCCTTCTTCCCCCAGCTTTGTATGCTGAGCATGGTGTCATATGGTCTGGGACATCCCTCGGGTCAGCTGTCCCAGCTGTGTCTACTCCCAACTTTTTGGGTATCCTCAGTCTCCTCTGGGGTGAAGAGCAGAAGGGGTCTTGACTCCGTGTGAGCTCTGCTCACCAATGGCTAAAATATTGCTGTGTTACCAACACTGCGGCTGCTGTCGTGTGTAATTGTGCAGCTTCATACTCTCAAGTTCTTTTTGCTTCCATCTCTGGTTTTGAGGATATGGGGATTTGATGTTTTCCCTTATTTGGTGAAAGCCCTTAGCACAACAGGATCTTAGTCTCAGCTGACATCTTTATGGCCTTTCCACTGATACTGTGAAAAGCCAAGATCAGGACTCAACAGTCTTGGTGACTATTAAGCAGCTATTCTTTATCATAGAGCTGGGTGAAAGGGGATCTTTCATCAAAGCTTGCGCACTGTTTTGACAAGCAGACACATATTTATTACACAAAAGCATACATCTGAGTGTAGGCTGGGTTAGTTCTAAGGTAAGTGTGCTGGACCTCCTCCTCTTGCCGCACATGCAGTGGTGGTCATGGGCTGGGGTCTTCTGGAGGAAGGCTCATAGTCCTCTTCCTTTTGGTGAACTATGGCCTGTACTCCCTTGATCTTGCTGACAAGAAGGGCTGCAGTCTTGAAGGCACCCTGTGCCTGTTTATCTCACAGTAGCCTTGCATTCCAATCTTGGAGATAAGTCCTGCTCAAAGCATCACAATGTGCGTACGGACCCATCTCATAGTGCAGCTGTTACATAGTTTATTGCTGCTGCTTGTTAGAAGGCTTTTAGCTAGGAAATTTCCATGAGGCCCTTATAGACAATAAATTTTGTTTATCATGTCTATATGTAGCTAGCAGTTCCTGTCATCCAAGTGCTCTTGTGACAAAAGGTTCTAAACTACTTGCAGTGTTAGTGTGCTTGACTTTTTGTTTACATTTGCTAAACTATTTGCTGCATTGGCGATGTCTGACTAAATGTTTTTACTTCTCTGTATCATCACTATACAATTATTTATTGTAGCCTGTTATTTTCTGTTACGTGATTTTAGGTGCCCCAAGACAGTGGAAAACTTCTGTGTGCACAGCAGAAATGGTTATTACAATGGACACATATTTCATCGTATCATCAAGGTAACTTGTAAAAAGCGTTTTGTTCGTTTAATGTACCTTTGTGGCCAGTCCTCTCTGTTAGCCCTTTCATTTCCCTTTTGAACAAAGGATTGCTGGAGTGGCTTCAGAGTTCCCTGTAAAGTCTGAAAAACTGTGAGGTTCTGAACAGCTTACTGACATTGTTTAATAGTTGTTTTTCAACTGAGAGGGTGGAAGAAATATGAAAATTGACAGAAAGATCAGTTCAGCAATCCTGCTTGACTTAATAATGTTTCCTGTCAGAAGGAGTTTCTTGTAAGATTTCTTTGTTCTGTTGCACCAGAGTCAAGCTGATACAGTCTAACTTTTTGCAGAAGGTACAAGTAGTCAGGTTTCTGTCTTTCACTA